ATGCATAAAATGAGATTCATACTGATAAAGAGGATTATACAACAAATAGTTAATAAATTAATACAAATACAAGAAAACTTTGTATTAAATGATCAAATTTTATTTTCTTGTATTGAAACTAATTATTGAATATGTAACAGATTTATAACCAAGAAAGTTTTTCAGTAAAACTGTGTATCTGACAATAGAAAAGCTCGATTTATTTTGTCAAACCCTTTGAAAATAATAATCTCTTTGTATTAAATCAACAATAGATTGAAATGATGGCGAGTAAGCCAGAATTCATGAGTGCCTTTCAATTGTGTTGATAATTAGCTCAATTTTTATTTGATCAGAAAAAAAACTAAGTTTTACCAATTCAAAAAAAAAAGGACTCATTTATGACTCTCGTTGAAATCGAAGGATTTTTTCTACTATTGTTTACAGGTAAAGCTTGTCGTAGTGATATTTCTATGGTTTATACATTCATAGGTACTCATGACCTTGATTTAACTGCAAACGACACAGACATCATTTTTAAATAATTTTATGTTAGTGTTCATCTTACATTTAAATGTGATACATCTGTTGCATATCATGGTCTTTTATGTTCTCGTTGCTGAAGATAATCTTATTCATCAATGAAATGTTGAAGAGTAAAAATAAAATTCAAATTTTTTGTTTTCTATTAAAGAATATACCGTGATCGAAATCTGGATATTTCTCCAATAAAATTATTGCAAGGTCATAGAGATCCGATTCATGATCTTTGTCAAATATCAATTGAAAAATTTCATTTACTTTTAACTGTTTCAAATTATCGTAGTGTTCTAGTATGTTTCAATAGTTTTTGTTCTTCTCTATAGTAATAAATTTTGAATTTTTATTATCGGAAAACGTTTATATGCATTTTTATTTCCTAATGAAATTCATTTAATATGTGCATCATTATTTTCTACGACAATTTATGGTGGTAAAGATATAGATACAATTTTTGTTGTTTCATTCCGAACGTTAGCAAAACAAGTAAATGAAAAAAAATAAATATTTTACTTTTTTTGTAAAAGATTTTGTTTGAAATAGACCTTTTCTAATGAAACAAACGCTGAAGTTGTAGCGCACACTATTTCAACTCGGAATGATTATATGCAAGGACCAATATGTTATTAGGATTTTATAAAATTTATTCTTATGGTCAAAATTTATGAACGCAGAAATAAAAAAAAAGTTAAGCAAAACACTATATGAAAGTATTCATTCATTTTATTGAATTGCATGTAGTCTTACATCAGCCATAGTTGATGCAGCTAGTTTATTTAAACCGAATAGAATGGCACGGTAGGGAGCCGGATGATATTTAATTGTTTTCTTGATTTTCCCATCTTTTGTGATCTGCAGCAGACGTCCAGTTTCATAGTCGACAATGAGCCATTCATTACAAGTGAGTGAGCAACAACGAAATATTTTATTTTGGACCCATCTAATATCAAGTTGAAATGTCCAAATGCGACTGAGTGTCTTGGCATTTCTTAAATCAATGAGCACCGATTTCTCAGGTTTATTCATAACTATCAGAGCAAGATTTCCGTTGTTGTAAACAATATCAGTGATAAATTCATCGTCGGTGCATGTATGAGGATATTTCCATTCTTTAATTAATTCAATTGCCGGGACTAATGTGAATTCCATAATAGATGAAGCACGTTCAATTATGGATGCAAAGAGAACTGTGTCAGAACATGTACACGATCCCCAGTTTCGTCCTTCAATTCTCTGCACATTATCAATTGACATTGTATTTTCGTTAATGAGATAGATATTATTTTTTCCAAGTACAATGAATCGATCTAATATTGATGACCAACACATGTCATGAATTGTACCGTAAGACCATAATGTTTGTTTGACGATGTTCATTTCTCTATCAAATAAACATAAATTTGGTTCTTGATGTTTCAACAAGTGTCGATCATTGCTACTTAGCGATGCAAAACTGCCTTTAGGGCTAGCAATTGTTCTATAGACAGACCAAAGAGTTGATTGATCAAGTTCATGGTCAGTCGTTCTTCCAATCAAAACGTGCGTGTCATCTATTAATAATGGACGAGTATCGATCGTAAAACATGCTTCTTCAATGTTGTTCATATTTCTTTCAAGTTGACGAATAGTTGATGTCAATAAGTCGATATCTTGACGAGTTGTTTCTTGTGTATTCATGAGTTCAGTCATCTTCAACTGTATTCGTTTGAGTTCTTCTCGTTGTTTGCCAACTTTTTCATCAATAAGATGATCAAGTTCTTGACATTTTTGTTCAAAAAAACAATCAATCTTCTTATAACAATCTTCACGCCATTGTTCAAGTTTTTGACGACTATCCGCAATTGCTTTGTGAATACTTAGTGTTTTGAGACGATCACCAAGTGCATTAATTTCATCAGTCAAAGGATTCAGTTGAGAAATAAGTGAAGCATTATGTTCATTTAAATGTTGTAAACAAAGATTTTGCTGGCAACAATCACACAGTCCACGTGATGTACGAATACATTTCTTTATCGAACATGATTGAGACATTTGATGAAAATAAACAATTTTTACTGTTTTACATGTAGTTGTTGTATCAAGAGAAAATGAAATGTAATGTTATTTCTCAAGAGAAAAATGATTTGTTTGCTGAAGAAACGAAAAACTCATTGATTTTTTCATTCGTATAATGAATGTTAAGTTGTTTTTTTTTCAGCTTTAAATTTACTAAATAGATATCGTAAAAGTAATGAGTTTACAAGAATAATAATGAATACTTCAACTGAAGGTACTTATTCATCAAAAACATAGAATATTAATTTTTTTTTTGGAGAATATGATGAAAGGAAAAGAATCAGTGTTTAAGGACTACTAAAGCAATCACTTTTTCTTGTTGTTGAAAACAACAATGTCCGAATTAGAAATTTTGTATCAAAAATATTTTTCCAGAACGAATTTATGAAGGAGAAGAAACCGAAAGTCAAACACCTCTCAAAAAGCTCTTGAAATTTCAGAAGTCGATCTTTTTTTTTAAATTTTTGGCTACGTAGACCAAGTTTTATCAAAAAATTAAAAAAATATAGCTCATGAAAAACTCTATCGTTTCCGCTTGATTAAATTATTTTAGATTCATACCGAACTCTTCAATCAATAAGATTTGAAAAATGTAATCTTTCTAAACTGGAGTCCTTTGTTAGAACTATGAGTTTTCAAGAACATCAGCCATCATCTCAAGAAACGAAACATGAACTCAATTCTTTTTGCATGATTTGTGCGAAATATTCCTGATCGAAGAAAAACAAACCGTAAATGATATGAAATAGCGAAAATCGATATCTTTTCCTCACTGTTTTCCGTAAACTTTTATATTTCACTTTAATAAAATTGTTGTGCTCTGATGAAATGGATGATGAATATCTTGACATTATTTTAATCTTAATTTCATACATTTATTTTTTTTAAAACATAGGTTGTATGGATTACAAAAACATATTACTAGTATAATTCAATCTCTTATTTATAGAATTCATAGCAATGATATAATCAATGCTTAACGAACACATGAGATTGATATATATTTTGAAATATGATATTTTCTTTTGAAAAAGTTAAGAAATCTAATTATCTCGCATTTTTATTTATGTTTTGTCTATTGTAATTTTTCAAGTAAAATTTTTTTACTTTGTTGCTACAAGAAAAACAAACTCTAATCAGTCTTGATATGTAAATATTTATATAAAGTATATCATATAATAAAAATTTAGTTATATACAAAATAAACTTTTAAATGTCCATCCAAGGTAATCTCTCGATCGAATGATTCACATAATCACATGACATAGAAAAAAAAAGTACAAGTGTAACTATGATTACTCATATCTCCTTTTTCTACAGCAAAACAGAACAGAAAAAAAAAAGAAATAATACATACTCACTATATGTTCGTTAATTGATACGATGTGTTCATCCATGCATTGATTTCCTTTTTCTTTCAGCTTCACACACATTTTACTGCATATCATACTGAGTCGGATGGTAAAAAGTATATTTATTAGAATATGATAATTATTTTATCTTCTTTTTGCTTAAAATTCAATTGAACAATCATAACAATTGATTATCGTTATCGTAGTTATGCCGAAAAAATATCTATTCTTCAATATTTAGTTTCTTAATATTCAATAAAGTCATCATTAATTGAAATAGGAAAATCACAACGAGGTATACAAATTTCCAAAAAGCCGAATAGCTCGATATGGTTGTATAGCGTATTCGATAGAACATCATTGTCTCTACAACTATGACCCTACAGAATTCCCAACGTTGTTGCTACTGCTAAAGTTTTGAGTCAACCTCGTTAAATAGTATTTTCATCAATACCATTAATGGGAAGCTAATCATATATCCATCCGAGGTCATTTAATAAAATCAGTTTGTACTCTATATTGGTTTTTATCTAATGAGATATTTCCGAGTCCAAACCATGCAGCCATTCGTGAGATATCGACAAAATACGAAACACATCCGTTTTTTATGTTTATTTGTAAAAAAAAATGATATAATTATTTTTAAAATGGAAAATAAACTATAAGCATACACCTTGTTTTTAATATCATGAGTTAATTGATATTTCTTGCGTATTTATTTGATTTGAAGTACCCGCGGTCAAAAGTATAGGTACAGTCTACAATGTTACCTATAATAAAGGCAGATCCTTTTTTTTTCTCATATTTTCAAGCCAAAAATGAATATTCTATTTTCGGAAGAAAAGTCCTCTTCAGCTTAAGTAATCATACTTATCTTTATAAAGTCTCTATTCGTACGAGATCTGTTTATTGAATTCAAATCTTAACCTACGTTATATGAATGGAAAAACCATCTTTTTTTTCTTCTTTTGTTCAGTGAACGAACCTTTTTTTCTCCGAAAATAACATCATATTTCATTGTCTCTTCCTATTGTAACTATTTCTAGAACATTCGAATCTTATTATTTCTATCAAATGTCTCAATCATGTTCGATCGAGAAATGCACTCGGACATCACGTGGACTGTGTGATTGTTGCCAGCAAAATCTTTGTTTACAACATTTAAATGAACATAATGCTTTACTTATTTCTCAACTGGATCCTTTAACTGATGAAATTAATGTACTTGGATATTGTCTCGAAACACTAAATATTCAAAAAACTATTGACAGTGGCCGTGAAAAACTTGAACAATGGCGTCAAGAGTGTTATAAGAAGATTGATTGTTTTTTTGAACAAAAATGTCAAGAACTTGATCAACTTATTAATGAAATAGTTGATCAACAACGAACAGTGCTCAATCGAACACATTTGAAGATAACTGAACTCATCAATATACAAGAAACAACTCGTCAACATATCGATTTATTGACATCAAGTATTCGTCAACTTGAAAGAAATATAAACAATATCGAACAAAAAGGTTTAACAATCACCACTCGTCCATTATTAATAGATGACACGCTCGTTTCGATTGAAAGAACGACTGATCATGAACTTGATATATCAACTCTTTCGTCTGTCTACAAAACAATTGATCGCTCTGATGGAAGTTTTCGATTATTAACTGCGAATGATCGATACTTATTAATACATCAGTATCCAAATTTACGCTTATTTGATAGAGAAATGAACATCGTCAAACAAACAAAATGGTCTTACGGGGAAATTCAAGACATGTGTTGGTCATCAACATTAGGTCGATTCATTGTGCTTGAAGAAAATGACATCTTTCTCATTGACGAAAATACAATGTCAATTGATAATGTGCAGAGAATTGGAGAACGAGACTTAATATCTTGTACATGTTCTGATGCAATTCTCTTTGTAAGTACAAATGAACGTGCTTCATCTATTATGGAGTTTACACTGTTCCCAGCAATTGAATTGATTAGAGAATGGAAATATCCTCTTACATGTGCCAAAGATGAAACTATCTGCGATATTGTTTACAATAACGGAAATCTTGCTCTAATAGTTATGAATTTATCCAAGAAATCGGTACGCATTGAATTGAGATATGCAGAAACATTCGATCGCATCTGGACACTTCAACTTAATATTAAGTGCATTCAATATATAGCATTTGGCTGCTGTTCACTGACTTGTAATGAATGGCTCATTGTCGACTATGAGACTGGATATCTGCTACAAGTTACAGAAGACGGAAAAATAAGGAAAACAATTCAATATGATCCGCCTCCTTATCGTGCTACTCTGTTCGATCTAAACAAGATAGCTGTATTAACTCTAAGTCACGTAAACCTGCATACCATTCAATAAAATGCATGACTGCTTTCGATTAGTTTTTTGCTTTAGTTTGTCGATGAACTACTCGAATTAAAAACAATTAATTGCATTTTACTGTAATATTGTTTAATGTTGATTTAATAATCGAAATAAGTCAAGTTACAATATCTTTTTATTTCCTAATATGCAAATAAAATATCAGTATTAGTCCACCAATAGAAATAGAAAAACTTTTCCTTACATGACTATGTAAAATATAAATCTTAGATCATGACGTTAAGAAAAAAATAACCTTTCTGTCAGTCGTGCAGCTTTTAAACCTTTGCCCCTTGTTAGGTTATTTGTGACCCATTTGTAAAAACTATCTATTTGAAGTAATAAAGTGTCGAATCAAGACGATTCTTGACCATTGTGTTCAGCACTTGATAACCTATAAATTCGTAGAAAATTAAACTGTTCTTCATCAAGCCTTGGCTAGGATATTTTAGTTGAAAAATCATGATTTTCAAAAAAAGTGGGAAAATACGATTTCTTTTTGTCTTTTTTTTAATTTATACGGATTGATCATTTTTGTGATTGAGTGGTTAAATTTTAGAAAGTTGGTCAAATGGATAATGTTTCTATATCAATGAGCAACATACAAAGCAAACTAAACGCTCCACCTCAAAACCTGTCGAAAATTCGAAAAATCACTGTTCTAATGCAGTAGTATTTCTGATTTCTCTTTCATTACACAAATGATACCATAGCTCTTTTTTAATCGGACATACATCTCCTCCAGATGCATCTTTTTATTTTGATTTTTTCAATGTAAATAACTTGAAAACTGAGTTAGCATTGACCTCAACATGGCCTGTCTTCTTATTGATTACTAGTCCTACTTGTACACGTTATCCAATCTCTGTCAAAATCAAAAAATTGGATTGAGATTCGCATTCAGCGCACAAAATTGGGTGTCTCGAGAACGCAATTATTTTCACTTGAACAAAGGATCCGAACTTCCAGAATGTCTATCGACGTCAAATAGCAGAAGTCTAAATGATAAAAATACTACTTTGACGAACATCATGCCTTCTACGGCGGCGGAGAGAGGACTTGGGATTTATTTTTTGATTGAAAACAGTCTCAGAAATATTTATAACGTAAGAAATGAATCGATTTTCAATGCTCCTTCCGAATATGGCATTGGTTTTGACTTCGACTGTAGTTTTATCACCATAGCTAAGTAAAGACTAGTCCAAAAGATATAACATCATTTTCTGAGGACACTACGCCTAAGCATGTCCCAATTGGAGCGTATTTTTGAAGTTTGAAAAGCATACAGTATTATGGTTTACGTAAAGAACTATAACAGAGTAAAACTTAGAGCTCGATAACTCTTACCATTCATGTATTATTATCGAATCAGTGATATGTCTATCATTTATATGTTTATAAGTACTCATGACCTCTATGTAACTGTAAACAAGATGAACACGATTATGAAGTAACTTTGTGTCAATGTTCTTCTTACATTTAAATGCGATACACTCGTTACATATCATGGTATCCTATGTTCTCGTGATCATATCAAGTGATGGAGCCAGCCGGAAGAGTGCAGAATGAAAAGTAATTACATAATATTTGAATATGATGCCCTCACCCTCAAAATAGTGATAGTTATTCGAATATTATCTAATCACTTTTAATTTTACGCTCTTCCAATTAATTCCGTCACTAATCATGTCTATGCTACTGCTATCGGTCGTCCTTCATTTTATGTTTGACGATTAAATAGTCGAGTAGAATTTCGTTGATTTACATCCATTTCAAGATCATACAGGTCCAATTCATAATCTTTATCAAATATCAATTGGAAAATTTCATTTATTTTTAACTGCTTCAAGTGATCTTAGTTTCCGACTATGTTTTCGTAATCCTCGGTTTTTTCTAAAGTGATAAGCCCTTGAATTTTAAATATGGGATGTTATTACCAGAAAATGTTTATTTATATTTTTATTTCCTACTAAAATTCATTAGATATGTACATCTTCGCTTTCTACAACAATTTATTGTAGTATAGATATTGGTTCAATTTTCATTGTTTCATTCCGAACATTAACAACAGAAGTAAATAAGAAGAAATAAATATTTTGTTTTTTTTTTGTGAAAAGATTTTGTTTGAAATAGAATTTTTCATATGCAACAAAAAGTGAAGTTATAATACATACTCTTGCAACTCGAAACGGCTAACTATGCAAAGATCAATATGTAATCAACATTTTGTAAAATTCATCCCAAGGATAAAAATTTATGAATGCACAGATATTTTCATGAAAGTTTCATTTTTTTCTAGCCACCAATGAGCGGTGAATCAGACGATTCAACAGCTATGGTAGCACAAACATTTGTTCAAATGGCTTATTTATTACTTGAGCAACAAATGAAGGTAATACGATTAATTTCAATTATCAAATCTATCTTAAATAATATTTCAGGAAAGTGCGGTTATTTGTTTTATTTCGTGTTCTTCATGGGAAAAGTAAAGCAAATCACTAAATGAAAGCAGTGAAGTATTTTATTAAGTTGTGTGCAGGTTTACGCCATTCACAGTTGATACAGCTAGCTTATTTAGGTCAAACAAAGTAGCACAGTAAGGAATCGGATGATATTGAATTGTTTTCTTTATTTTTCCATCTTTTGTAATCTGCAATAGGCGTCCAGTCTCGTAGTCAACAACGAGCCATTCATTACAAGAAAGTGAACAACATCGAAATGCTTTATTTTGGACCCATCTAATATCAAGTTGAAGTAACCAAATGCGATTAAGCGTCTTTGCATATCTCAATTCAATGCGTAGTGATTTCTTGGATTTATTCATAATCATCAGAGCGAGATTTTCGTGATTGTAAACGATACTATTGATAGCTTCATCTTTGGTACATGTAAGAGGACATTTCCATTCTTTAATCAATTTGATCGTCGAGAGTAATGTGAATTCCATAATAGATGAACCCCATTCAGCGGTACTTGCAAATAAAACTGCGTCAGAACATGTACATGATAACCATTCCCGTTCTTCAATTGTGTGCACATTGTCAATTGACATTGTATTTTCATTAATGAGATAGATATTATTTTTTTCAAGTACAATGAATCGATCTAATCTTGACGACCAGCACATGTCACGAATTGCATCGTAAGGCCATAATGTTTGTCTGATAATATTCATGTCTTGATCAAATAAACATAAATATGGCTCTTGATGTATCAATAAATGTTGATCATTGCTAGTTAGTGATCCAAAAGTGCCTTCAGGACTAGTAATTTTTCTGCATACAGGCGAAAGAGTTGATAGATCAAGCTCTTGTTCAGTCGTTTTCTTAATAAAAACGAACGTTTCATCAATTATTAATGGGCGAGTATTGATTGTAAAACATTTTTGTTCAATGTTGTTCATATTTCTTTCAAGTTGACGAATAGTTGATTTCAATAGATCGATATCTTGACGAGTTGTTTCTTGTGTATTCATGAGTTCAGTCATCTTCAAATGCATTCGTTTGAGTTCTTCTCGTTGTTGATCAACTTTTTCATTAATAAGTTGATCAAGTTCTTGACATTTTTGTTCAAAAAAACAGTCAATCTTATTATGGCAGTCTTCACGCCATTGTTCAAGTTTTTGACGACTATTACCAATTGTTTTTTGAATATTTAGTGTTTTGAGACGATCACCAAGTGCATTAATTTCATCAATCAAAGGATTGAGTTGAGAAACGAGTGAAGCATTATGTTCATTTAAATGTTGTAAACAAAGATTTTGTTGACAACAATCACACAGTCCACGTGATGTACGAGTGCATTTCTTTATCGAACATGATTGAGACATTTGATGAAAATAATCAAATTTCAACGTTCAAGATATAGTTGCAATAGAAAGAGAAAATGAAATTTGATGTTGTTTCTCAAGCAAAAAAATTTTTGTTTACTGAAGAATCGAAAAAGTATTGCTTCTGCATTCGTATAACGAAAGTTAAGTTGTTTTTTTTTCAGCTTTGAATTCAATTAATCGGTGCTGCAAGAGTAATAACTTTACAAGGAGAAGAATGAATACTTAAGTCTCCCCCTCAAAAAACGTCAGTTTTCGTCAGAATGATCGAAATTAAGGCAAATGCAGAAAAAGATAGCCCGTGATCTGATCTCTCATAAACGACAAAAATTTTTTACTTAGCACCGCCCTTCCCCCCCCCCCCCTCCCGTCTTCGGTTTTTCTCAGTTCATGATACGTATGTCGAAGAGGCAACCCAAATTTCTCAATCCAGATCCATGTGATGTATTGAAATTTTTTTTAGAAAGAGCACGTCAAGACGCAGAGTGTTACAGAGTTCTTTTTTTTAAATCAGCTTGTTTATAATAATATAAGAAAGCATCTCTATAGAAAACCGTCATTTTTTAGGATTTTTTAAAGTCATTGACCTTGTGATATCTTCTTCCGCTTAAAAAGTAAGAATTTGAAAAAAGGACTCTGTGGTGTCCTATATCTTGACATGCTCTTTCAAACCAAAAAGAAAATTAAAATACATCACTGTCATGTAGTGAGATTCACTATTGTTATTTTCTGTTTCTTCTTTTTATTTCTCTTGTATTCGTTATTTTTGATCAATGTCAAAAAAAACATTATATTGGGCCTTGACTTTATTTTATATCATGTAATAATATTGTCTATTACGTAATGTATATACTTATTTCGTTTTGGAAATAACTCATCTTCATTTGCGTATATTTCTATTGTTTTCTTTCCGTCCTTCTACTTTGTTGTATGCGCCATTACGAGATATATATATATGTTTTCTTTGAAAAAGATCGTTGAAAAATCAGTTTCAAGTTAGTAACAAAATAGTTACAATCTTGTTATTCTTGTTCGTTTCTTTCATCTGACTTGTTATTCGTTTTCTGTACTTTCAAGTCAATAAACAAGTTATTGATCTTGAATTTTTACGTATTTACTTCAATATGTGACAATCACATCAACCTGGAGTGAGAAATTTGAGTTGTCAAATTCGCTCTTTTTGACCCTTGTTTGGGCAACATCTCTCTCAAAGATCACGATATCGGACTGAAAATTTCACCATAGCTTTTTCACAATAGCCCCAACATATCCTGAAAATTTCATGTCATTTGAATGTTCCTGGACTGAGATCGATTTTTGAGGGAACCTTAAATTGCATGTGATTATTAGTCGAAAAATTGAATATTGAATTTTTTTGAAGAATATAATACAAAAGAAACCTATTTTCATCATGTGTGACATTGTAGACTGTGTGTATAAGATGAGTTGCAAAAGAGATGAAAAAAATATCAAACTTCGTTTGACCATATTATGGATTTTTAAGACAATCACATTTTTCTGTTGTTGTAAAGAGCAATGTTCGAGCTACAAATTTCGCACCGGACATACTTTTTCAGAATGAACTTATGAAGGAGAAGAATCCAAAAGTCAAACTTCTCTACAAGAGCTCTTGCAACTTGGAAATTTGAGTTTTTTTTTGATAGTTTTGGACTACGTGAATCAGACTTTATCAAAAAATATAGAAAAATATAGCTGATCAAAAACTATATCGTCTGAGATCTTTCAAATTTTTTAGATCCAGTTCAGACTCTTCAGTCAAAAAAAGATTTGAAAAATAATGTCTTTTTTTGTAGTGAAATCTTTTGCTCGAACCATGCGTTTCCAAGAACAGCAGTCACCATCTGCAAAAGCCATGCACGGAGTCAATTCTTTCTGCAATATTTTTTCGAAATATCTCAGGTCGAAAAAAACGGCACTGTAAGTGGTAGTAAACGATATAAAACAACGAAAATCGGACTCTTGACGTCGCCGTTTTATGTAAAGCTTGTAAAATGATGAAAATAGTAGGAGAACGAATAATTGCCTGCTAGCGAAAAAACGACCTGATGGATTACGACGAAATACATTGGAAACTAATGCAGTAATATGCCATATTATAGGTAATTCGGGTCGTTGAAGATGTTGTTTCTGACTGTTGAAATGATCGCATTGAGACGTCTAATCATTGAAACTTAGCGGAAAAAATACTTCAAAAATATTTTTTACTGTTGTAAAACAGTCGTGTAGTATAAACGACAACATTATTCTGTCTATTTCAGAAAAAGCAATATGTTTGTAGAAAACCAAGAACAAATTTAACTTACAATACACCATTGGAAAGGTCATTCCTTATGCTATAGCTCACTCAGACAAACAATAAAAATACTTATGAAAGCGCGTTGAAATTTTAACGAAAATAAAATCATAAAAATGTGCGAATTTTACGATTTCACATTAGTTCAAGAAGTTTAACACGTTTATACGCGTTCAGTTTTTGAATTGAATGTATCCTTTCATTTAAATTAAAGTTCATGCAGTCAAGATCTATGGTATATGATAAAACTTTGAACTCGATGTCCTGTAGTAATATTTATGAATTATTATTGAATCAGTGATACTTCTATGGTTTATACATTCATAAGCACTTATGACCTCGATCTAACTATGTACGAGATCCACATCATTCTGAAAATCATTTCAAGGTTATACAGACTCAGTTCATGTTCTTTGTTAAATATCAATGGGAAAATTTCATTTATTTTTAACTGCTTCAAGTGAGCTTTAGTTTCCAACGATGTTTTCATAATCATAATTTTTTTCTAAAGTAAAAAATTCTTGAGTTCTACATATGGGATGTTGTTACCGGAAAATGTTTATGTATATTTTTATTTCCTACTAAAATTCATTCGATATGTGCATCATCATTTTCTACAACAATTTATTGTGGTACAGATACTGGTACAATTTTTATTGTTTCATTATTAATATTAACAGCAGAAATACAGAAGAAGAGAAGAAAATATTTTGCCTTTTTTTTGTAAAACATTATCTTTTACATGGACTTTTTCAAGTGAAACAAATAGTTAAGTTGTGACACATACTTTTGCAACCCAGAACGGCTAACTATGCAAAGATCAATATGTAATCAACGTTTTCTAAAATTTACTCCAAGGATAAAAATTTACGAACACATAAATATTTTCATGACTGTTAAATTCTTTTTTTGTCCCCGATGAATGTTGAATCAAACGAATCAACAGCTATGCCAGCACTAGTACTTGTTCAAATGGCTCATTTATTACTTGAGTAAAAAATGAATTCATCTTAATTCTAAAAAAATATCTTTGCTAGATATTTTGTACTTTCTTTTCTTTCATATTCTTTGATACCATATTAAAAAGATTATGTAACTAATCTCTATTATTAAATCAATCTTAAATAATATTTCAGTGAAATGCGGCTAATTATTTTTAGCTCGAGTTCTTCACTGAAAAAATAACGCAAAATACTAAACGAAAGCAATTATTCCTTTTATTGAATAGTATGCAGGTTTATGCCATTATCAATCGATACAGCTAGCTGATTTTGGTCGAACAGAATAGCACGGTGGGGAGTCGGATGATATTTAATTGTTTTCTTAATTTTTCCATCTTTTGTAAT